CGATTTTTGGTTCACAAGGACCTATGAATAAAGTTCCATTAATCCCTTTTACCATTATATCATCCTTTTGTAATATCAGGTTACCTGCTAAAGTAACTTGTATCAGTAATGAAAAAATAATGGTAACCATTAGCGTTATTGAACTTGCCCTTTGTACCATACTTGTTTGCAGTAGTTTCTGTTTTCTTTCCGCTCCTCGAGTACGCGATGCTATTGGTCCGTCATCAGTTTCATCTTTTGATTTTGTTGTTCGAACTTCGTCACTGTCTTCTTCATTCACTTCCATAGGATAAAGTACATTGATTGGTCTATTGAGAAGTTTTCCGCTTGAAGTTTTCACAGTTGCACTTCTTATATTTCCATCACTATCTAATTTAAGTGCTTCTAACTAATTTCCACGTGCCTCAGGATAATTCTGGTTCGTTTAATAGAACTATTTTCCAGCACGTGGAATGCGTCTGTCAACTAATCTCGTGAAGCCAATTCCCTTTGTATTATTCGTTTTTCCAATTTTCCCAAAATACGCCCAAAGTTTTGAGGGTATTTGACCAGTAATTAATTAGTTCATCTCTAATATTTGGTATATGAAGTATAAATTCTTCTTGGTCACAATCATGGTTACTTGGTATATTGGAAGGAACATTAGGAGAGATGAAATCGATGGGTCTTATGATTTTATAATCATCAAAATTTAAATATGTTAGGGGACGAGTATTAAGTATACCTTCTATTTCGGTTATTAATGTAATCAATTCTCGTTCCCATAATAACTTCCTACCTATCGCTCTTCGAAGTGCCTTCTTGGTTAATCCAATCATTCTTTCATATACACCACCGCTCCACGGTGCTTTCGATACAATATTTTTCCATACTATCCCTTTCGAGGCTAGGAAGTTCCCATTTTGTTCCATCATTATTTTGAATACCAGTTGAAATTGACTGGCGTTATCACTGAGAACAAGTTTGGGATATCCTCTACGTGAGATAAATCTTCGTAATACATGCATGAAGCTTTCTGCCGATAGGTTTTCAACCAGCTCGAGATGGATTGCTCTAGTTGTAAAACATGTAAAGAGTGCTACCCATCTCTTAAACTTCCCATTGTTATGTTTGACGGTAATAGGGCCCATATAATCAAGGCTAACCTGTTCAAAGGGTTTTGATCTCTTTACACGCGTTTCAGGTAAGTTTGGCATTAGTGGTAATTTGTATGGTTTAGTTCTCCATCTTCGACAGACAAAACATCCATTGATAACCCGTTTGACTGTTGATCTACCTTTTGGTATCCTGTATCAAAGAAAATTAAGGCCTCTGCTATTTTTCTTGGTTCATCTGGATTGAGTAGCCTTACTTCTTTACACACCATATACGTTTCTCGGATGCTATCATCCGCAACCGTGGCCGCCACTGTCTTTGGGCTTTGTCGTGGATTTTTGTTGAAGTATTTTGCGATAGTTGGAACAAGCAGGGAATTTTCTACACGTTAGTTGTAGAGGAGAATTGAGATTACTTGGAGTATTAGCTGCACCAAGTTTGATGTAGATGATGTGCGTGTGTCGTACGTTGTGGGCAAAGGCAAGAGTTGATTCTTTACTTGTCAAGGGTAAGGTCACAAAAACGACACAATACTGCTGATAATGATGAAAAAAAATGAGAACAATCCAAACTGGTCGAGAATGATGAAAAACTGATTATCCATCTCCTGGTAACCGGAATACAGCTTATATACGGAAAAATTATTTCAACAGGGGTGATTTAGAACAAAGATCTCGAGACTTGATTGATAATTGCTTGGACGGATTAAAATTTTAGAAAGTAATTTAGAAAGAATATTACAATTATTACCTAACAACTTGGCTAAAGATTAAGTTTGAAACTTAAATTAAGACATAAAAAAAACAATTGGATTTTGAAGTCGGTGGTTTACTGGTCGTGATTATCTTCTCAATCAAATCTTCTAGACTCTTCTTTTACCCTTCTGTTATTGCTAGTTCATGATCTGCTTATTCATACTTCATTTTAACTTTCTTGTTTCACTTATTCGATTTAGTTTCGTAAGAAGTGAAGCTCTTTCACAATAAAGCGTATTTCCTTTGTCAAATAGACAGTCTTCCTCATACAAGTAATCTTCGTATAATGCAACGCTATTCTCCCCTTCATCATTTGCTGAATGTAGCAATTCTTTCCACTCTATCTCCAAATCATTTGCCTTGGAGATTATACCGTCCAACACTATTGTTTCTTAATATCGATTTTTGTCCGTCCAGCCATTCCATCGTCTTTTCATAACTTAATCCTTCTGATAAATCCTTTCTTTCGTAGTTCTGTTACCTTCTTAACAGCCTTTCTAATGAGATAGGAAAGAGAACTTTCTTTTCTTGATTCGTTTACACTCATATTTCTTTTTTCGACCTCACTTTCAAGCTTTGTTATGTGCTAATCCGAATAAGAATTATTCTTTTCGTCGCTTCCTTCTTAATTAATAAGACCTACTCGCTTCTTTCTTGATCGGATCCTCTAGTCACTGGTTCAAGTTTAGCTAATTAGAGCAAATTTGTTGACGATTTTCTTTAACCGTGAAAAAGATTAAGAGTTCTTTCTGCTTCTTTGGGTAGCAATATCTCAAACTTTATACTGGTAAGTTGGTTAATACAGTTGTTGTGAATTTTTTTGTAGAGTTGTTGAGAGGTCCATCAAGAGCCAAGAATTACCACCTCAAATTTGTTCTGAATTGACGATCCGTTGGACTGATTGAATATTTCCTTCAGTCCGACAAGCCGGGTTGAGTTGAATTATGTTGTAAACGCACCAGATTGTAGAAAGTTTATTGAACCTCCTCGTTTATTAATGGAATAGGGTTTATATATATTCGCAAGTGGGAGTGGTTTTCATTAAGCATTTATAGGATGTGAACACAAGGATGTAAATTTAGCTAACAATACAAAGATGGGAAATAAATCTAAGGAATGTAGAATTAGTAATGAGGAATTTATTTGATTATTTGTTTGTTTGGAATTTAGTTGGAGTTTCGCGAATTCGGAATTCGCGACAACAGTAACGAACTCAGCAATTATGACTTCGATCTAACAAATTAATAACGAAAACAATGAAAAGAA